GCTCCAGTGGTTAGAAGAACTCGTGGGAGAGCTGGCAGGAACAAGAGGTCAAGCTGACATCCTCTTTCCACGAGCATCTGCAGAGCCATCGCGGGAAGGACGAGGAAGCCACGAGATCACGCACCTGCCGTGCCAGCCATGGTGCGCGCGGTGTGTTATGGGCAAAGGGCGTGCTCGGCCCCGCGGCCAGAGGGCCGAGGAGTCGAAGAGGAAGCCAGAGTTTGAGATGTTCTTCTGCTACCTACTGCAGAATCCAACCGACGTGCGCCAGGAGACGAAGCATTGGCGACCACGCTGGCGTTGGTATATACGGCAGCACAAAACGTCATGGCAATGGCAGTTCCTCACAAGGCAGATGAGACAAACCTCATCTCATCCACTTGCACATCGTTTGTCAAGCGGGTGTCCTACGAGAGTGCGGTTCTCATGATTGGCCCTGCATCAGCTTTTGGAGCTACTGCAGAGAAGGTGCGACAGAAGTGCTTTTTGGGCGGCATCAATATCGATATTCAGAAGACACAGAGGTTCAGCAGCCAGAACGTGGGAGCAGTTGGTCGAGCTCAACAGTCAGTTGATGGTCAGATCAGGGCAATGCGCGTGGACATGGAAGCGAGAATGGGAATGGCGATCAACCTATCAATGGCTCTCTAGCCTTGGATTGTAAGGTACGCTGGTTGGTTTATTGAACGGTGTCGCTTCGAGGCGAACCAGAGGGCGGCATTCGAGGGCAGCTTCGGGAAGAAGTGCCAGGGCGAGGTGTTGATGTTCAGAGAGCCTGCACTGTTCAAGCTCGCAGTTACGGCAACTGGGAGGTACGTGCAGGAGTCAGGTAGGGCCGAGCAGACGCGGGATTCGTTCGAGGAGTCTGGCTTGGAAAGACGATCGGGTCGGATGGGCGTCTGTCGTGGCAGACGAGGGCGCATTCACTACCGGGACGGTGCAGCACATGCCAGCAACGGACCAGGTGAAGGCCGACCTCGCGAAGGGGATCAAGGGCGCGCTGTGGGACAGGCGCACTGGGGGAGCTATGGGGGGGCCAAGGAAGAAGAGCAGAGCACCTCCCCCAGCGCCAGTTGCGCTACCGATAACACCGTCACCTGGAAGGGGGCGCACCAGCAGAAGGAGCTCAGCAGGTGCCGGGACCGTCGGCACCAGGAGACCAGCAAACGCAGGCAGCTGCAGGGCCGAGTGCGACCAGGTCGGAGCTGCCGCAGGGCTATAGCATGGAGCAGCTGGGTATATATACGACTACTTCACTGACGTTGCCGAGCGCGAGCAGTGTCACCAAGCGAGAGGTCGAGAACACTGACATGCAGACGGACGGTGCCGACAAGAGAGCCAGAGTGGGGGAGCTCGCGACGATGGGCGAAACCGACTACGTGGCTGAGTTCGACGACGAGAGCTACGAGAACGAGGAGTACGACGGGTGCCAGGGCGCTGACCAAGACGCGGCGAAGGCCATCCTCAAGGGCAAGCGTAGGGAAATGGGCGCCATGAGGGGATCCGGCATCTTTGACCCAGTAGAGAGCCGACCTGAGGGGGCACATGCACTACCCACCGGATGGGAGAACGCACCGCGAGGGCCTGATGGATGGAGATGCAGATATGCGGCAATAGAGTTCAAGGGTGAAGATCCTGAGTTGGAAGGTCTGTTTGTCGCTGGAGCGACAAGCAGCGCAGGGGGGCCCATCGACCAGCGCGCGGGGCAGCGCGGCTGTGACACCATGCGCTCAGAGCGCTTACTTCCATGCGGAGGAGGACGAGGGGGTCTACGCGGATCCGCCAGCAGAGTGGGTCAAGAGATACTACTCTCGAGGCGGACAGTGCAAACGACCTCGGTGGACAATGAAGAAGCAACTCAATGGCAAGCGCAAGGCCCCCAAGAAGTTCGACAATGACGTGATTGACAGGACGATTGAATTAGGTGTCGAGCAGCGCCCCGAGCAGCCCAGAGCCTTCAGAAGTCCAAATTGGACATTGGTGTGTGTATGAGGTTCATCAAGGCGACATATAATCATCAGGGAGCGATGCTGAGCTGAAGTGGTTGGACTTGAAGCCAGTTCTCAAACATAAGGAAGCAGACATCATGATGCTTGGTTCGGTTTGCTCTTACTTACGAGCTACGCGGGCAAGAGCCAGCAAGGACGAGATCCATACCGCACCATGGAAGAAGTACATCGAGGATATTTCTGATCGAGTCAGGCCGCGCATATTGCAATCCAGCACCCACCCCGATAGTACAGGCGAGACGAAAGGAGGAGCTGGAGTTGCCAGTTGTATGTCCTTCGGGCCATTAGACGTTCAAAATGTGTGTTGGGGCCCTGAGGCGCTTATTGAAGTGCCGAACTGACACCCCATTCACTGTTCACGAACTGCGCAAAGCGTTGAGCGCGCCAAGAGATCCAGACGTGCAGAGACTGAGAAGGTGTGCGAGGTACCTGAAGGGCACCCATGACTACGGCATCTTGGTTACCAAGGGCAATGACACAGACTACTTGGACACGTAATCAGACGCCGACTGGGCAGGCGACGCCCGAAACTGCAGGGGGGCTTCAGGATGTGCGTTGAGGTTCGATGCGACAGCGCTGAGGGAGTTCACAAAAGGACTTAGTTGCCACGCACTTTCAAGCGGTGAGAGTGAGTACTACGCGGCGGTCACTTCGGTCGCCGAGGGCATCCATGTGCACCGGCGTTTGGAGTTCATTGGGTTTCCAGTCGAGCTCAAGTTGTGATTGGATTCGACGGCGGCTATGGGAACGGTTCAACGCGCAGGTTGTGGACCATTGAAGCACATCGAGACGAAGGTGCTGTGGCCCCAGAGCAAATGCGAGGAGAAGAAGGTGAAGGTCCACAAGGGGCCGACCGCGACCAACATCGTTGACGGCTACGCGAAGGCGCTCCAACCAGCCAAGTTTCTTGAATGGAGGTCCCGACTTGGAATGGGCGTTGAAAACGGCGACGAGTTGGAGACCGGCAAGAAGGGCGCGATGAGTGGCAGCGGCAAGTGGGCCGCAGTTTCTCACGAAGGGCCGAAAGCATTGCTTGCAGCGGTGATGCTACTGAGCGAGGCGAAGGCCGAGAAGTGTGAGTTAGTGGCGCGAGAATCCCACGAGCTGGAGTTGGTAAAGGGTATCAAGAGCGGCAACATGAGCTTCAATTGGTTGCTGCGGCATGTTCAAGATTATGAAGGTTCAGAGAGTTGGGAAGGTGTCTCTCGGGGCCGTCGGGGAGACCAAAGCGAACATCAAGGAGAGGAGGGACATCATGAAGCGTGACGTGCTGACGCAGAGCCAGACGACGTGCGCGTGGCATCGCCAGCAGCCTCGATTCTTGTTGACACCGCCACAGGCCGCGTGGGTGTGGGCGAGCGATGATAGGCTCGCTGCGAGGAGCGACGCAGATGAGGATCTCAAGCAGATCCAGTGAAGGCTTGAGCAGGCTGCGCCACCGTTCCGCCAGATAAGTGTGCTGGCGAAGACGGCTAGCATCAGAGTTTCGAGTGAAACAAGGGTTTCGAGCTGTAGATTGCAGTTCGGTACGACCTCCGCACAGCTTCAGTGCGCCGAGGGGGCGTGTTGGTGTTTTACACGTACAGGTGAGGTATAGCGCAGGCGTGGGAGGATGTAAGATGAGCGTGCGGACAGATCAGAGACAGGAAGGGTTCAGAGGCTATTCCATTGCGTGCCCATTTTGTTCCGTAGCTTTCGGCCCAAGAGCGCTTTGAGACAAGCTAGCATCAACATTGAATGTAGTAGATTGCAACAGACAATCCTGTGCAAACCATTGGACGAAGTGCTCGCGCGCTTCTGTCGCGCGCGCATGCCGGAATCCACCTTCGATTCCGTAGCGTATTCACGATATTAGTTGCGAGAAATCTTGCGCTCGCGCTCGTGCGGATCCTTACGAAACCCATGAACTTTTCAACGTTGTCATGGAATGTTTACCAAACGGGCCTCTCGCGCCGCATGCTGACATCATTCGCACGCCCTTGCGCGCATGCTGGGGGGGGGGGGGGGGGCACTCTCGCGCGTCGGCCGCGCGCGCATGTCGAAGTCTTTTTGAACCGTCATCGCGGACGCGAGGACGCCGTCATCGTTGTCGGCGTGATCAGCCTCGGCGCCCGCACTGGCCGCGCCTTCGTTTGTGTCAACATCGCCACCAGCATCGCTACCATCATCATCGTGCTTACCGTTGTCGACGTTGCCATGATACCGCGCCCGCCCGAATCGCCGATTTGCCGTGAAGTGCCCGCTGGGATGTGCCCAGCGGTCAGCGCCACCGCGGCTGCGTCGGTCGTGCCAAAGTGGCTGGCCGCTGCGCGCGCGTGCATGCGCGGGCTGTCGCGGCCGCAAAGATGCACCACTCAACGCCAAGCATTTATCGCAACCGCCGTTTCATGGCGTTTGCAAACCAAGTTGCGGGCGGGTGGGTGAGATGTTTGCGCGAGCGGTGGGGTGGATACATTCAAGTTGAGCGTTGGTGGGTTTCCAAGACGTCTAACCTCCCAAACACCCGTCGATGCGTATTTTTCAGTATGCGGCCCCAAAACGTGGCTCCGACCTCTCCCTGGGGCAATTCTTCGTTTGGCTCCATTTTTGGTGTTCCGGGCTCCGGGCCCCTATGTACCGAAATCAAGTGATCACGGATGTTTGGGCCAGCTCCCCCCAGGCAGTATAACAGCAAGTTCCAGCCGCGTTGGCCGGAAGCCTACATGGGGTTCCAGATGCGTGCTTCGGAGGGATGGGTGTGGGTGCGTGGCCTTTCCGGCGTGGCACACCGAGCAGCGTGTTGGGCGCCGCGTAATGGGGGGGGTCATCAATGGGGGGGTGGCGAGCGTGGTCCGAAAAGGTACCCAAACGGTACCTAAACGTGCCCCCTTGGGGCTCTGGAGCGGCCCGGAAGGGGCACGAAAGGGGACCTTTTCTGACCTCCCCATTTGTGATCCCCCCATTAAGCCACGCCTCAGCGTGTCTGGTGGGCCGTACCTGTGCCGCGGACAGGACCTCATCGTCAAGCACGTGCGGGCCAACGCCACCATGACGATCGCGCTGTACAGCGCCCTCATGAAGGCCCGCGCGTCGCGGCCGCCGCCCGCGCCCGCCCCTGGGACTTGCCCGCGGCGGAAGGGGAGGACGGGGGAAAAAGGGGGGAAGAAGGAGGGCGGGAGGAGGAAGGAGAGAAGGAGAAGGAGGAGGAGGAGGAGGAGGAGGAAGAAGAGAAAGAGGAGGAGCAGGAGGAGGAGGAGGAGGACGACGATGATGATGCTGATGATGCTGATGCTGCTGCTGATGATGATGCTGCTGCTGATGAGGATGCTGACGATCATGATGATGCTTCTGATGATGCTGCTGATGACGAGGATGATGATCAGGATGGTGATGCTGGTGATGCTGATGATGCACATGATGGTGATCATGAATATAATGTTGCTGATGATGATATCGACAATGATGACGGTGAAGGTGATGCTGATGTTGCTGCTGCTTCTGTTGCTACTGATGATGATGAGGATGATGATGCTGATGATGCTGCTGATGATGATGCTGACGATGGTGCTGATGATGATGATTGTGATGCAGATGACGATGATAATGCTGATGATGATGATGGTGGTGATTATGCTGATGATGTTGATGACGACGATGACGATGACTATGATGAGGATGATGATGATGATGATGATGATGATGATGATGATGATGCAGATGGTGATGATGCTGATGATGATAATGATGATGATGATGACACTGATGATGCTGCTGATGATGCTGATGCTGATGATGCTGATGATCATGATGATGCAGATGATGATGCTGATGCTGCTGATGATGATGGTGGTGATGATGATGCTGATGCTGATGATGACGATGATGATGATGATGATGATGATGATGATGATGATGATGATGATGCTGATGCTGATGCTGATGATGATGATGTGATGATGATGATGCTGATGATGATGATGCTGATGATGCTGATGATGATGGTGATGATGATGATGATGCCGATGATGATGATGATGATGATGATGATGATGATGATGATGATGATGATGATGATGATGATGATGATGATGATGATGATGAAGATGATGATGATGATGATGATGATGATGATGATGATGATGATGATGATGATGATGATGATGATGGTGAGGGTGAGGGTGAGGAGGATGAGGAGGCGGAAGAGGAGGCGGGGGGAGGAGGCCGAGGAGAGGCTTCCGCGATACCATTCGCTTCTGCCAATATCGCACTTAACAAGAGCATCTGCATGCCCCCTCTTCACGCCAGATCCCTGCTGGCCCGCTTGAAATGTCTTGCGGCGATGTCGAACACTGCAGATTTGATTGCCCGTGTTGCGCGTGCCGACGGTGCGGACTTTGAGGAGATAGTGAAAAGGAGGAGGCGGAGGAGCAGGAGGCGGAGGAGGCGCAATGCTCAAGGCTCAAGGCTCAAGGCTCAAGGAGGCTCTTGGAAGTACCAGCTTTTGATGGGACCGATTTGGATGTCGCTGGACTTCTCGACGCCTGCCCTGCTCGCAGGGCGCGGAGGGTCGGGACGGCAGTGGGGCCGGCACGTCAAGGGGGGGGGTGGCACAAGGCACAGGGCGCGGGTCGTGGTCCTCCCACGACCGCCCTCAGGATGCGTCGAGGATCCACCGCTGGATGGCGGTGCCGTCGTGGCGGCAGCGGCGGGAGCGGCCACAGCAGGGCCGACGCCAAGGGAGGTCGGTGAGAGGGCACCGCAGAGCATGACCACGAAGGTGGCCACTCCAGGCCTCCAGGCTCAGGGAGGAGGACGCGGAGGAGGAGGAGGAGGAGGCGGAGGAGGAGCAGGAGGAGGAGGAGGAGGAGGAGCCCCGCCGCGGTGGGAGGGGCCGAGGACGGCGGAAGCCTTGCGAGGCTGAGGGAACGATCTGCGAGCCTGAGCCTGCACAGTTGCTCCTGATGTTGCGCTCTGAACGACGTCGGCGGCCTCGGCCTCGGCCAGGGCGCCTTGGGCGGGCGGAGCAGCAGCAGCAGCAGCAGCAGCAGCAGCAGCAGTAGCAGCAGCAGCAGCAGCAGCAGCAGCAGCAGCCATGGACCTGATGGATGATCGTGTGCGCGCCCTGCCCAGCCTGTCACCAGAAGGAACAGACGGGCACGCCGACATGGAGGCAGTGGTGTGAGGCCAGGGGGGCAGCGACGACTCCACGGGCAACCGCTCCACCCGCAGGCGAAAAGGCCTCGGCGCCCTGCCTCTACGGAGCAAGAGGGGAGCTCGGCACTGACGCAGGTGGACGGCTCAGAGCCTAGAGCCTCGAGCGGAACGAGAGCTCCCGTCTCCGTGTAAGGCCTCGACCTCCCGACGGAACACTGCGTTCGGATGCAACTCCTGGGAGGTTGAATTCTGTTTTCGCCCTGGTCCGAAATCCGGCTTAATCCAGCTTCATCCCGCTTAATCTGGCTCGATCCCGCTTAATTAATGCCGCTCGATCCGGCTGAATCCTGCTTGGTCCGAGGCCCTCTTCCGGCGTAACGGCTCCCAAAAGGGGCTGAAACCTCCCAGTAGTTGCCTCCTACAGTCGGGGCCCTGAAGAAGGAACCCTTTTCGTTGGGGAGGGGCTCCGCGTTCCTTAAGTGTTTCGCAGCTTGCCTCGGGTTTCCCTTCTGTCTTCGATCGGAGATGGAAGTTCAACTCGTGGAAAAAAGGGGCCTCGTTCCTTATTTAGGGTTCCTTAGGTCAACGCCTCGACTGCAGTTGCCTCCTACAGTGCGAGCAGAAGCAGCGGGGCCCAGGCATGAGCGGAACCCGAGGCTGCACGGGCGCAGGCGCGAGAGGCCCCCGCCTCCGCGAGGGGCGGGGGCACCCTGGCGGGGCGAGCGGGCGGCGTGCGCGCTGGAGTCCGAAGCCCGTGGGAGGACAGGAGCCCCTTATCCTCCTCATCCTCCTCCTTTTTCTCCTCCTCCTCCTCCTCCTCCTCCTCCTCCTCCTCCTCCTCCCCCTCCCCCTCCTCCTCCCCCTCTTCCTCCTCCTCCTCCTCCTCCTCCTCCTCCTCCTCCTCCCGCCAGACACAGGAAACACGAAAGAACGCACGTCGGCACCACGGGCGGCCTGGGGATCACCGTGGGGCCCTTTTGAGGTAGCATAAGGTGCGTCGACGGATGACGTGCCAGACCCGGCTCGAGAGGACGAGCGAACCATGCGAATAGAAATGATCCGTAGTGCGGGTAATGTGGCAGAGGAGCCTCTCCCTGACATTGCCATTCGTCACTACATTCGCGTGACTTCTTCCTTTCGTGTGTTCTGGAGGACTGCACAGGGTTTGCGATCGGTGTTTTGGTTGACGTTGAATAATCCCCTTCCATTTCCTTTTTGCGATCTGAGGGAACTGGTGTTGTACGCACCTTCGAGGCGGACCAGCATTTTGAGGCGGACCAGCATTTGTGTTTTGTGGTGATCTCTTGGCCTCCCGGTCCCGCCCGCCCGACCCGCTTGGAGCGGGCGGGGGGAGGGCGAGGCGTGGGGAGGGGAACCAGCCGAGGAGGGGTGGTGGTGGAGGGTGAGTGCGACCTCCATCCTCCATTCACTACTCCTCCTTCATCTCCTCTCCCTCATCTGACTTCGCCTCCTGCGCGCACGCACGAGAGGAGGAGGAGGGGAGCAGGAGGAGGAACACGATAAGGGAGAGGAGTAGTGGATGGAGGAGGAGTGGAAAATGGTGGAGGATTATGGCTGTGCAGATAATGGCGGCGAGTGCGGAGGAGGCGCTGGGAGCACGACGGGGCTGAGGTGGGAGAACCGGGCAAGTGGTCCAAAGCACGAGAAGAGAAAGTTGAATTACGAAGAGTGGTCCAAAGCACGAGGGGAGGATGTGGAACTACATAGAGGCTGCATGCACAGGACGCGGTCAGCCCCGGGGCGAGAGCTGGATTCACGTGTCTCGCCATAGGAATGGCTCCGCCTTCGGCGCGTCCCGTCCTCCGCGGACGACGGCTGAGGCTGGCGGAAGCAAAACGAGGGCGCCCCCGCTGGCGGAAGTCGGCGGCAGTGACAGCGAGACGTCCACGTTTGTGAGCTCCGAGGGCCCGGAACCGGCCACGTGACTCGGCTGGTCCGGGCGAGAGCTGGACATGTAGTTACACCTGTGGCCAGAGAGGAGGATAAGAAGGAGGAGGAGGAGGAGGAGGAGGAGGAGGAGGAGGAGGAAGGGCTCGGCCCTGCTGCGGCCGTGTCCGTCGGGTTCCCGCGCGTGTAGTCCGGCGCGCGGCCTGCGGGCGTGCCGCCGGTGAGCCCCGCCGAGTGTGCGCTCGAGCCTCTCTTGTGTTGCGCGGCTGCTCTAGAGTGCGGGGGGGATGCCGGAAGGGCCCAGGCAAGGCAGTGAGCAAGATGCGGGAGGGGGGGTCAAAGGAGGGCCCACAGGTCTACGCCTACTGTGGCATGTACGACAAGGCCTGCGATCTGTACGACCAGCTCAGGGAGGACGGCCTGGAGCCAGATTCCATGATGTACGGTCCGCAGAGGGACATGGGTAGGTCCTCATAGTTGCCTGAGCGCTTCTTTCCATCATCGAGCAGAGACTCCAGCCCGCATACGTCGTTCGTTTGGTGTAACGAGCGGTTCGCGGCACTCTTCGTTCATGCTCGTCCATTCCCTCCTCGCTTTGGTGCTTATTTTTTATTTATTCCTCGAGCGAGACGCTGGCGATGATGAGTTGTGCTGCTCTCGGCACCAGCGGCAGCTAAACAGTTGCAAACACATGTTGTGGGGGATAAGTCAAGCATGATTCGGGTATAGCCAGGACCCCAGGTGAGGGGACCCGGTTAGTAGTAGGGCCCCGGAGCCCCTAAATTGGCCAGTATCACAAAACCAGGTCTGCCGTAGCTGGTGTTTTTTCGGGTGACGGCAGTTCCGGTTAGTGGAACGGGGCGGGGGGGGCGTCCCCCAGTACACATCACTAGACCAGGTCCCACTAAACTCAGTTCTGTCAACGCCCGGATGATGATGGCGACGATGACGATGACGACGAGTGATTGGTACAGTACCATGAAGGGCATGCCGCTGCCCACGCCTCCGCGGATGCGGGTGCCGGCTGATTATTGCAGCCGCCCGCGCTCCTCCGACGGCCAAGAGTGAAGGACGAGGAGGAGGAGGAGGAGGAGGAGGAGGAGGAGCAGGAGCAGGAGCAGGAGCAGGAGCAGGAGCTGGAGCAGGAGCAGGAGGAGAAGGAGAAGGAGGAGGAGGATGAGGTCAGATGGGCGTGTATGTCTCAGGGTATTGTGATTTCATTATCCTTGCCAACACCTTCTTTGGATCCCGCCTGCAGGTGCTATTGTCCGCAGGAGTTAACCCGGCCTTTAGCATGAGTTTCTTGGGTCGAGGGAGAGCGAGGATGGATCGGGAAGGGACGTGCGCACCGCCGCCCTTGTCATTGCCGCCGTGATCATCGCCAATTTCCGTAATGTCGCGGGGCCTCGGGGTAAGGATTCGTATGGGGAGTTGGAATCGGCGGACAGCGGCGTGGGGGGAGACTTGGCCCCCAACCGTCCTCTCCCTCTGTGCACGTACTTTGTTTCACCTGCTTTTTAGGAGATGTTGCTTGAACCAATTGCCTATAGTATGAAAGGGAGAGAGGGAACACAAAGGGAGAGAGAGGAGGAGAAGGAGGAGGAGGGGGAGGAGGAGGAGGAGGAGGAGGCGGAGGAGGAGGAGGAGGAGGAGGAGGAGGAGGAGGGGGGAGGGGGAGGGGGACGGGGAGGGGGTCGAGGAGGAGATGAGGAGGAAGAGTAGTGTTTTGTCCCTCCTCTCCACCGTCCTCGTGCCTCCCCCCTTCCCCTCCCTAGCCCCTCCTCCTCTACCCTTCCTCCCCTCTCATCCCCTCGTGCCCCCCTTCCCTCCTCGTCCCCACTCCTCGTCCCCCCCCTCCTATGCGCCCCCCTTCCCGGACACCCGGCGGCCCGACTTGCTGAAGGCACGGGCCCCATGGGCCTCTCGACCCCTGTCAGAAGGGGAACAAACACACAGACACATTGAATGGTCGATTTTCGAGAAAGGATGGGCAAATATGGGAAGTGTGTGGGGGGGAAGACGAACACCCAGAAACTATTCGAGAAAATGGGGGATCCTGGGATGTGTGTGTATACTTTTTGCGTGTCCCTGGGCCCCTCCATCCTTGTTGGGCCCCAGGGCAAGTTTCTTCCATGGCGCCCGGGGCCCAGGACGTCTCCCGAGGGCGAACGGGGGCCGGGCGGCCCGACGCCCCCCGTGCCTGCTTGGCCGACGGCTGTCTTGTGCTTCCCCTCCGCCTCCTCCTTCTCTCAGGCGTGCCGTGTGAGCGGAGGCTCGCGGCGTCAGTGCCGCCTCTCCTCTCCCTCTTCTCGGGCCCCCCCCCCCCTCCCCCCCCTCCCGCGGAGTGCAGGGTGCCTCATGAAGTTTGCGGTGGAGTGCGGCCGCACCGACCTTTCCCGCGACCTTTCGGAGAAGGCCCCCTCCCCCCTCCCCCTCCCCCTCTCCCTCCCCCTCCTCCTCCCCTCTCGTTTCTCTTCCTCCTCCTCCCCCTCCTCCTCTTCTTCCTCCTCCTCGTCCACCTCCTCCTCCTCCTCCTCCTCCTCCGCCTCCTCCTCTTCCTCCTCCTCCTCCTCCTCCTCCTCCTCCTCCTCCCCTTCTTTCTCCTCCTCCGTAGCTATTTTGGCTCAAGATGCCAGCATCCACTGGGAAGGAAGTGTAAACCCCGAGACCGCGGCAGGCAAGACTTTCTGAAGGCTGGCAACGACTCGCGCTCGCGCTCTCTGCGCTCGGGTCGGCTGGTAAACCGAGGCGTTTCCCGTTCCTGTCGGCTCGATCGCACCAGACTTCCACCGCATGGCGGCCTCCTCCGTGCACGTGCTCTCGTCCCAGGACGCTGCCGTCATTGACGCATGTCCCACGTTCGCCACGCAGAAGTCCGCGGGCGGTGCCAAGGGTGGAAGTCGGGACGGCAGAGAGGGGCTTGCTGGGCGTCGCCGCAGGGTCGCCAGAGGCAGGCCCGACACGGGCTCCCCCTCCTCCTCGGACGCAGGCTCGACGTCGCACAGTGGGCGAGGGCATGTGCGCGCTGCTGGTATTGGGTCTGGCACGGTGGATCTTGATGATGTTTTGGAGCAGTGGCGGAGGCAACAGGTTGCGACCTTCCCCCTCGCCGAGGAGGACACGGGGAGGGAACGCGGAACTCGACGGGTCGATGCCGGACGCGCCCCCCTGATGCGTTGGCCGCCGCTGCGGCGCGGGCGGGCCTGCCTACTGTTGGCGCAGAGCGAGCTCGCCGCTCGGCGCCGAAGCAGCAGGCCCCCGCGGCGCATTCTGGTCGCGGTGATGGTCTGGGCGCCCCGCCTGCGCAGCCTGGAGCTGCTGGGACGGCAGGCGCCATGGCACTCGCTGCTGGCCATGGACACAGGGGCGCTCCACAGTCCGTCGAGGCGAGCCTGCAGAGCATGGAGGCGCGCCTCCAGACATCACTGCAGGCGGCGGTGGCGACGGCTAGCGCAAGCATGCCCCAGGCCTTCCAGGACACGGTCATCGACTTGGCGAAGCAGAGCGATGCGCGATTCCTGGCAATGGAAGACCGCATCGCACCGGCGGAGGCTAGAATGGACGACCTCGACCGCATGCAGAAAGATATCCAGATGCTCACGGACGAGTTGGTGGTGCTCACCTCTGGAGTCTCGGTGCCGCAGACGGGCGGCAGCTGGGACAGAGACCCCGACCCTGCGGTGGTCACGGTCTTCGCGAAGCCGACGCTGCCCAAGCAGGCGGTCGAGCAGGCCCTGGCCCCGCTGGTCGCGGAGGCGCAGCTCCACGATCACGTGCGGCTGGAGGGCGACGCGGTCTCGCAGAGCCTCTTGCTGCGCTGCAAGGGTGCGGGCGCGCTTGCCGAGAGGAGGGCCGGCACGCCTCTGCAGCTCATGCGGCTCGGCCCGGGCCAGTGGCGCGAGGTGCGCGCGACGGCCCCGACGGGCGCGCAGGTCAACCTCAATCTGGGCGAGGACCGCAATCGACGACGGTCAGCCACGAGCTGGCGCTCAAGAGGATCAGGCAAGGCATCGAGAGGATGCTTCCCCGCAAGTTGTTCATGGAGAAGGATGCGGCCGCGCTCTCGCCCCAGTGGGCTTAGCTGCTGCGCGCGGAGATCACGTCGCCCACTGCGTGCCCGAAGATCTTCTGGAACATGGCCTGCATCTGGAAGCTCAATCTCAATGAGGATGAGCTGGCGGAGGCAGCGGCGAGGGTGCTTCAGCCCGAGGCTCAGGAGTGGCGTCTTTAACCGCATGGCGTGCTGCTGGGGCGGCGCGCAGGGTGGCGCTGCAAGGACGGCGCAGTTTGCTCCCTGGAATGCTCGGGTATGTGCGAGTTGTTCCCAGAAGATCGTCAATCGCATGTTGCGTTACCTGCAGACGTACTGGCGGGGGCCAGTCGTCCTGGGCATGCAGGAGACGCGCGCGGGCATCGAGTCCATGCAGCAGCTGCTTGGCCGCGCCGTCCGAGATTTTGCGCGCTTTGTTTATGCCCCGATTGGCGCACAGGCTGATGCGGGAGGTGTAGCTGCTCACTGTCTTCCCTGCGCAGACCTGTGGAGAGCGCGGCGTCTATGTCCCGTCCGATGTGGCTCCTGGCCGTGTCCTCCGAGTCGCGGCGTCGCAGCTTGGTGCCGAGCTGCGCCGTTGGAATTTGCGCAATTTTGGCTTCGCGGCGGAGATGCGGACCCGCTTGCTCCAACAGATGCATGCTGATCTAGCGCGGGCTCACGTCGACCCCGCGGCCCGCGCCGCGGTCATTGTCGGCGACTTCAACTGCGGTGGCGTTCTCGAGCGGGGCGAGTTCAGCGCTTCTCCCCCTGCGGCCCCGCTGTCGAGCCCGCGGGCGCCTGCGCGGCGCGCGCGGGAGGAGGCGCTGCGCTTGGCTGTCGAGCTGGCTCCTGCGCGCGCGACACACCGGCATCAGGGCCTGCGCCTGGCCTCCAGGATCGACAAAGTCCTGGTCAGCGTGCCGCTCTGGGTCTTGCGCCAGCAAAGGCAGGCGGCCTCGGTGTGTGGCGAGCCGAGGGAGCTCCACATCAAGGGCGTGAGCGATCATGCGGTGCCGGTCGCGTCTGTCGCTCCGCGGGCACCGCGGCCTCCCGCCAGAGGCTCCGCGCCCATCCCGAGGAAGCAGGTGATGCCCCCGCGCTGCAGGGAGATCGTGGAGTGCTACTGCGAGGAGGTCCGCTGGGAGCAGCTGGCGCCACCTGGCGCCTATGCCGCGTACGTCGCGACCTTGCAGACCGCGGCCGAACTGCCGCAGGTGGAGTTGCTGGCGACGGACGGAGGCGCGAAGGGCACGAACGCTATGATCTGGCGTCAGCTCGCAAGGGCGTTCTGGCGCCAGGACGCCATGCCGGCGCGCGTTGTTCTGGCGCAGAACGCATGGGCAAGCGAGGTGATCGAGCTGAGCGGGCAGGGTCTGCTCGGGCGGGTGCTGCTCAAGGGCCCCGCGGAGTTCGAGCGCCGCCTCTCGCTGGCTCAGCGTTGAGAGGCGGCGGCCAGGGGCCGCGAGGCGCAGTCCGAGGCTGAGGTGGGGTCGGCCGAGGAGCTGCGCAAGCGCATGCTGGCGCAGGTCCGCGCCCTGCAGAGGCGCGCCCAGCCGTGGGCCCCGTGGCTCGGCAGCACCTCGCCGCCGTGGACCTCCCCCAGGGAGCTGTCGCCGCGCAGCAGGGCGTGGCGGCGGCGCTGGCAGCGCACTGGGCCCCTGTCCTCGCGCCGTCCTGGGACCCCGCCGTCGAGAGGAGGAGGGCGCTGATGCAAGAGAGGTACCTGGCGCGCTTCGCCGCGCTTGCCCCTGAATGGGATGAGCTACCGCCGCCTGGCTTGCATGTGCTGCGCCAGGCTGTGGCCCGCGCTAGGCGCGCGGCGCCTGGCCCAGACGCAGGCGAGGGGCGTGGCGAGGAAAGGCGCGGAGATCCTGTGCCGTGCCTCGGTCTGGCTTCAATCGGGCTGCCCGATCGATGCGGCCATCGGAGTGTTCATCCCGAGGTCGCAGGCCACGTCGGATGGTTCGCCCCTCGTGCGCCCCCCGGTGCCACTCGCCCCCTCTTCCTCGAGTCGGCGGGGCCCAGGGCGATCTCGAGTGCTTGCGTCGTCAGTTATGCCCGCGGCATCAAAACGACGGTCTCGCCCTCCCAGAGGGGCTGGGCTTGGTCCGAGGCAGAAACTTTTTGTCGAACCTGGTCGAGCTTGGCGCTTGGGCCCGAATTGCGAGCATGCGCGCGATTGACCCCGCAGGGTGCGCCCCCGAGTCGTCGTGGCCCATGCTGCTTGCGTATGGTCATGGCCGGCCCTTCCACCCGGTGGCCCGCCCCTGGCTGCGGGGGGCCCCGTGGGCGTGGAAAGCCCCCCGAGGCATGGTCGAGGCGCTCCAGGGGACTTGCGCGCAAGCCGCCACGTGCGGCAGCTGCTCTGCCCGCGCCCCTCTGCATGATGTGCGGGGGGGGGGGGGGGTCGCGCAAGGTGACCCCCCCCATCGGGCAGCATGTTCGCACTGGCTGTGGACCCTTTTGTCCGCGACCATGATGCGCCCCCCGAAGCTTGCGACATGGGGCTCGCCAAATGGCGCGTTGTCGACTGCGGCGTGGGGGGGCCCTGGTCGCAGGAACCTGCGCCGTGTCCTCGATGTGTCCGGCAAGCTTGCGAACCTGCATCTCAGGCCAAGCAAATGTTTTTTTGCGCGCAGCTGTGTGCCCCCTTCTCGCCCGAGGTTCAGCGCCGTGTTCAGTTCCTCCTGGGTGGCGCCTCGAGCGAGTGGGGGCAGTCTCGAGTCGTCTCCGAATGAGGGCATCTTGGATGCATCATCGGCCCGTCGACCACCGCGCGCGCTCAGCGGGCGCCCGTGGTGCAGAAGTGCAAAGAACGCACGCGTGCTATTTCTCGCGCGGGAGCGGACGCGCCGCGTGCTGCGTGTTGTTTCGCGAGCGTGCTGTGAGCGTTCTGCAGTTCAAATGCCAGCTGCACGAACTTCCGAGGAAGGGTTTGGCCCACGGGCGACACGCATTGACCCGTCTTTTCAGGGCCCTTGGCGCCTGGCTCTTTCTGAATTGTTTTTTTGTTGACCTCCCTGCGCTCGGGGGCCCCTCTCTTCTGCCGCTGCGGGCTGTGGCCCTTGCCGCCAGGATGCGCGCGGCGCTTGAGACCGGATCGGGCCGGCGATCGCTGTGCCCGCGGCTGCGGGCGGAGGCGGAAGAGCATTTCCCTCTGGCGCAATGGGCGAGGTCGGCAGGCGTCACCAGGCCACGGCCGAATTTCTGGATCCAGCCGCCTCTCGCCTGACACCTGCGAGTGGCGGCGGAGGCCTCGGCGGAGCTCGGCCCACATGCTGCTCCCGCCCGCGCTGGCCTCGCCCTCCGCCGCGCTCGGCAGTCCGCCGCGCGCGAAGCCCTGGCGGAAGGAATACCCTTTCTCAGCATCAAGACCCAGCGTTGTCTCCAGGCTGGCATCTCTCCTGTGCTCTACCCGTCGGCATCCTCGCTTTTCCCATTCATTGTCTCTCGGCTCCAGCGATGGTTCCAGGTCGGGGGGGATGTCTGCGCGGGGGTGGACAGGGCGGGGGTGGCGGGCGCCCTTTCGCCCCCGCCCCCCCCGTCCTGGAGAATGGCTGCCATCGAGATTAGGACAGGGCGATGTGTCGCGGGCGCGCGCGTGCGGAATCCTGACCTCCAATGACTTCTCGGCTGTGATTGCCGCGACTGCTTCTCTCACTATGTCCGCTGCCCTGGATTCCTTTTCCTGGTTGGGTCCGCGTCGGGCTCTCGGATGGACCCCCTGCCCCGCCGATTGGCCATCGTGGGCCCCGTCGATCGCGAGGCTCCGTCAGTTAGTGCATATTTTCCATCTCCTCCGTCTCCTTCATCGGGCGAGGAGACGGAGTGGTCAGTGGTGTCATGATGCTGCGGCCTCGCGTGGCTTCGCGAAGGCGGCGGCCCTGGCGGCCGACGCTCCGATGGGGGGGGCGGGGCCGCAGTGTTCGTGGGCAGAGCGGGCAGGTGTAGGCGATGACGACGTGCCCCCGCTTGACGCTGTGCCCCCGCCTCCTCCTCCTCCTCCTCCTCCTCCTCCCCCCCCCTCCCCCTCCGTGGCCATGTTGGCTCGAGATGCCTTGTTCCGCCGGGGAAAACGTGGGCGCCGCTAGTTCGCGGCAGTCAAGGCTGTCCAGCTTGTTCCCCCCCCCCCCCCCACCGCCACAGGGAAGCGCGCGCTCCCCGTCTGGCCGCTCAGGCGGGGTCAGAGCTCCCAGTCCGCTCAAATAGCGCGCTCGGCCGCGTGGTCGTGCTGCGGGAGCTGTAGTGACTGGGCGTGCGATCGCGCGATCAAGCATGCTCGCGGCATCTGTGTCAAGTGCGACCAACTGGGGGCGCGGCTTCCCCGGGGGGATCAACCACCTTGGACCATCAAGGCCAAAGGCGCTTGCGCGGAGGTGGTTTGCACGAAGCTCGCGGTTGCCGTCGCCAAGTTGTGGCCCGACCCAGTCGTGGAGGCGCAGGTGGGCGATCTCCATGGCAGCGTCGCGCAGAAATGCGCTCCAACGGCCAAGGAGCTGCCGATGGCGGCAGTTCTCAAGAAGGCCATGGGAAAGATCGGCGCTGCGAAGCTCAAGTTCGATGACCTCTTCAAGAAGCGCGTGGAGGCAGAGAAGGCGGCGCAGAGGCTGCGCGACCAGATGGGGCAGGCGGCCGCGGATGCGTGCGAGGCTCAGGAAGGGTACGCGACAGCCCGAGTATAATTTCTTGGCAGAGGTAGAAAGCGCGGCAGGCGAGAAATTAGATTACTCAGGTGACTTCGACCCATCCCTCTTCGAGGACATTGTGGACCTTGAGCAGAAGCAGAAGGCCCAGCTCAAGCAGTTTAGGGAGGACGCCGCGCCTCTCAAGGCCCTGTTGCAGCGAACCAAGGCAATGGAGGAATACATGGTCACGACGGTGGAAGAGGCCGAGCGCGCCAAATCGGAACGCGAGTGCGAAGAGGAATCTGAATCGCAAGGTGGACGACGCGGAGGGCGCGCGATCACGTCCACAAGCGGCCAAACACCTTCAAACTGGACCACTCGATGCCGCCGGTGCCAAAGCGGGGAAGACTTTCATAAACAAAA